TTATCACCTGGGGAAAAAAGGATTGCACACCAAGCCAGGTGAGTCAGCTCCCAATGCCAAGAGTCACAGAAGTAACAAAAACAGATGCAAAGGAAAAGTCTCCATGTAAACCTAACAAACCCAAAAAAGAAGCTTTGAGTACAGAGACCTGATAAAGAAGAAGGAATGACTGAAGAAGTATACAGACCACATCACCAAATGAAGAAAAAAAAAATATCAGAGACTCTGGATAGGAAGGAATACAACCCTTGTATACTTGGGACTCAAAATGCCGGTGAATTCAGACCCCCCTGCCTCGGTATGCTGAAATCAGGCCAGACAATGTTCCCATTAGAAGCTGCCCCGGCTACTTCCTTCAGCTGGGAATCCAAAAAGGTGTTAGAGCAAGAATGATAAACATTTTCATAATGGAACAACTATTCTGGGGCAAGTGCAAAGCAGAACACTGAGCTCTAGGTGAGCCTAGAGACCACAAACCAGCCTATTCACCAGGAAGCAGGCAGGAATGAGAGTTTACGCACATTTTATGGACAGGGATAGTTTATTCAATATGCATAAAGCACATATCCTGTACACACACAAGATTAGCAAGGACCTCATACTGCACACAACAAAACAGAAGATGGGCTGTTACAAAAGAAGATCCCTGCTCTCTCTCACAATGAGCTTCAATATTTCTGAATCTTGCAGCTCTGCATGCACAATGTCCTTGTCCTCCATGAAAGTCCCAGTCTGGGGGAAGAGGCACTTTACCCTACTGACTCCATAACCCTCAGCGCTCTCAGTTTTCCCACTCCAGTACTATCATTTATTTCTGCTTACCATTTTAAACTACTTCAAATTCCTTTCACAACCTCTGGCTACCAAAAACCAGTCCCAGTCTGGTCCCAATCTGCTAGGTGCCACTTAAATTTACTCAAACCTGTAGACTCTTCGACAAAAACCTTACAGTCTGTGACGGGTTAGCCCTTGGCTTAACTTAACACTCTGCTTAACCCAGGACACAGTCTAATAAAACATTTCACTTTGAGGAAGAAAAAGTTTTATGATGTGAATGTAGTGCCCACAAAAACATTGCTATGCTGATATCAGGTATGGGAAACCACCGGATTTATCTACCAGAAGGAAGCAGCAGTACTGCTAGATCACCTGCTCCAAGGAATACTAGGAAATTTCTATGGACAAGTACCCTGTCACACTCCTTGTTCACATTACTGGTTTGCTGTTTGCTAACTAACTGGCACTTGAGAGTTAATTCTTGGTGGTTTTACACATCTGTAAAAGGGCAAGCACGCTTGTGTTCAGGACTGGGACAAGATAACGAAGATATCTGTACCTGAAATCCCTCCCATCACATAAAGGTTTCAGAAGAAAACAAACTTTTTTTGAAACCTTTAAAATATCCCATAAAAGCCATGAGATGCTGGCAGGAAGACAGGATTTTAGGGAAACCAGTTTCCTCATTCCCAGAAGTTAGGGCATGTCTGTTGGACCCATGCAAACTACTAGTTAGCAATAACATGCCAGCTCCTATTTCAAGGCCTCAAACCTGCTGCTATTTTACTGTGAAAAACTAATCACACATTTTGTGTAGTCGCCATGGCTACACAAGGAAGGCCTCCTAAAAGTTCCAAAACTCGATGTGGGTGCTGGAGCTTAGAGACCCTGTCTACAAAGCACGATGGCATGCAGCAGCCCACTCAGAAAAGTCAGCCACTGAGTATCCGTCACTTGAAAGGAATACCTACGCTGCACAGTGAGATCAAAGCTGCAGCAAATGAATCCCAGCCCTAAAGAGCAATCCTTCACAAGTAAAAGGACAGCTTATTTGCCATTCCAAATGCAAATTCTGCCAGTGACTTTTGCTAGGGCAAAGGAGGCAGCAGAGAATCATGTAAAATGAATAACTGTCCAAAAATATTCCGAAAACCATCTCTTCTTTTCTTTTTCCTCATGGATAATGGATGAGCCCTGAGGTGGCAGTGACTTTCAGCAACTACCAACTCAGACCTGGACTTGGATCAGTAACCTAATTACAACATGCTTTTTGCTTCTTTCATGAGCTATTCAAGTACCTCAACAGAAACACAAAATGCTTTGTGTGTGTCTGATTACCCCAAACTGGCAGCGGTTAATTCCAAAAGCCTATCCTCACTTTAAAATGGTAGTTCTACCACAAATTAAGCTATTATAGCCATGAGTAAAATTAGGTTCTACATTTGTACTTTCTAAAATATCAAAGGCATGATTAGCAAAGTCTTTTGTTCAAGATCTCTAGAGTCCTTGAGGTAATGAAAACTGGGTCATGGAGCAGTTTCTCTTAAAAGTTTAAAGCAAATGCTGTGTTCAAGCAATACCTGCCTCTGTGACTCATGGAGTGTTCGGTCTAGAGAATGGAAATACTGTACCAACACACAGACACCAACCGTAGTACCCCGGCCCTCCCGAAAAAAGGAGGAAGGGGAGGGGGGAGAGAAAGGCACAGCAGATGATTTTGAACAGTTTCCTGTTACGATCCCTTGAAAGAAATCCAACCGTACTTTCACCCTGCTTTCTGTTTTCTGAATTTCTCCTGACAGTTGGCTCTTTCGTTTGCCAGAACCACAACAAAGGACGGCCTTGAGTTTCCACACAGGCCATTTTCTCCCTCTCTCGTCTCTGATCATCTCACAAAGGTATTATTGTTGCTGGCTCACTGGGGCTCAGTGCACCTGAGGCAGATCAAAGGCACTTTTTAATGCCCGCCTGACCACACAGGTCTCTCTCCCACTGCATTAAATTAAACTCGATGATTAATCTCTGTAGCCCTGAGGGTCCCTTGGTGCACATGGAGAGAGAAAATATATATTTCTATCAAAACACAAGTATAATATACTTTCATTTTATAGCCCTAATTAAAAAAAGGAACAGCTAATTTCAGCCAAATGCAGCTGCATATAGGTCTCATTAAAACCCAAACACAACTGCTCTGTGTGCTCCACGTTCCCTTCATGCAGTCCACGCAGGTAATGGATAAAAGAACAGTAAAACAAAGTCCTTTCACAGATTAAATCCAGAGAAGTTTAGAATTTGCTTATTGTCTGCTGGCTAGAGATTGTTATACCTCTGAACAGATGAGCGAAGGAGGGCAGTTAAGGAAATGATTATAAAATGCTGAGTAGTTACATTTAAATAAAAATCTACTTCAATCTAGCCCAAAACTGCACAAGCATCTATTCCTGAGTTTGCAGTCAAGGGACTGAGAGCCTTAAAAGGCTCTACCTTGTCTCTGGTGTGCAGTCTGTGTATGACTTTGGGGCTCTTTAATGACAGAACAGAACATTGATTAACATCAACACGGACTTTATCACATCACTTTTGTTACATTAGCATACTTAATGGAGCCACATCTCTCGTGGTCATGGAATATGTACACAAAAAGTGTCATGGAAGTGTTTATACTGATATGCCATGCTCTAGCTGGGAAGCAAAACAAACTATAGCAGTGAACTGGGTCTACATTAGAACTTACCAATACACATATATTAAAAATTAATAAATAACCACACACATCTCCTCCTCCAGGGCTAGTTACACTAAAGGAATTAAGTTAGAGCCAGCTGGCCCATTTCCAGCTGCTCAACATTGCCCTTAGACCTTTTGGGGAAACTGTCTGAGAGCTCCTCGGCTCATTTCGGTCCAGTATTATGTCTCTATTAACCCAACACATTTTAACAATTTAAACTAACTCAGCTAAATGAAACAGGTTAGGAAGAGTTCATACAGACAGCTGCTTCTGCAAGGGCAGAAACCTCCATCAAAAAAACTGGAAATAATAAAGTAGTGGCAGGCTCAAAGAGTGAGTTCTTCCCCCAGAGCTGGAATTTGCAGGGTGCCCTACCCGCACCATGACAGACAAAGAGATACCAACACAATTTTTCAGAGACAGAGTAAGCCAAGAGTGGTGGAGCCTGAGGTTTGCAACTCTTGTTTAGGAAGGAATTCACATATATTTCAATTGGTCTACAGCATTTGAGCTTTTGTTAAATGCTCTGCTTCACAATACTGGGATTATTCACATCTTTAAGTTCAATCATGTGCTTAAATGCTTTGCTGAACTACAATCCACGTGACAAGATCACCATTTATTCATGCTCAACATCACCACGTATTCATGCTGATACTATGAAGACAACTTAACTTACTGTTAAGCCCGAGGTTTTATTATTGGCTTCCTTTCTTTTTCTCTACTGGAGCTCTTTCCATGAAGCATGTTAGTCATCTCTAAAAGACTCCAGCACTCTCATTGCCATTTGCTCATTTAGGAAAAATCCAAATTATAATCAGTCTAAATTTAAGACCAAAATGAGTTTTAAATAAAAAATGTGGCAGATAAGGGTACTTATCTAAATGGAATGCTTTCAGACTCATACATTTTAAAAAGGTATAAATTTCAAAAGCAGACACTAAATTTTAATTGCAATCTCAGAAAAAGCTTTTGTATTAATTCACCGAGAAAAATTAGCAAAGCGAAAATTGCTTATCGGGATTTTTCTTTCTTTTTAGTCATGATATGTATCATAATTCTATACATCATGGAAACTTTCAGAGGTAGAAGGATTTATATTGATTAAATGAAGAGGTGGGGGAGAAGGGCTGTGACTGAAGACATGCACTCCTTCTCCAAAGACAATATTCTGTAACACATTAGTGACAGGCTTGTCACGGATAACTCAAGCTCAGAGTCTTTGGCTCAGATTTCAGGCTGCTCTTTAAGCCACTCTAGCATCGTGGTTTTTACTTTCCATGTCATTTTTCAGTATTGATTTCTACTACTATTAAAGTTCTTGCTTAAAAGCAAATGCATGGTAATATATAATTAATATCCAAAGGTAAAGATGGAGTTACCAGAAAAAAAATTCAAGGAAAAGGAGAAGAGTGAGAAGCACAAAGGTCATTTTTCCCTTCAAAAATATTACTTACTGTATTCTGTAGAAATCAGGACTATGCATACAACCTACCCCCATGTGGCACGAGGATGTTCCACAGATCATAGCAATTCGGGATGTAATTGGCTGGTTTTCACATGGCAGGTTATGTCCTTTCACATCTGCTCCAATTACTCCTATTAAAATAAAATTAAAATTATATTTTAAAGAAGAGCAAGCCAACACTCACAAAACAGAGCTTTCCCATACACAAATAACTGCCGAGGATCTTACGGCACTGCAACAAATCAAAAAGGCTTCTTAGTCAATAAACAAAGTTATTTTATCAAATCAGATTAAAATGTATTTTTATTCCAGACACATGAAGACACAAGATGTTTTCTTCTATATTCACGTCAATCATCATAATTTTTAAATGTTATTTTGAATATAACCTGACCTTTATTCTGTTAGTACACAACCATGCAGAATAAAGACTGTCCTGCTTTGAAAGGTGCTACAGCAGACTGCAGAGATGTTTATTTGTTCACAGTTTATCATGCACGTACTGTATGATGTGTTTTGTCAAAGGATGAGCTGGAGAAAGGGGTAGCTTGGCAGGAGACTGGAAGGCAGCCAGTTTTGTTGTCTTGACTGATGCTGCTGTTCTGTCCATGTCAGACAAAACCATCTAAAGGAAGATTACTCCTTCCCTAAGAGGAACCGTGCTTGGCTCTGAGGAGCTTCTGCATGGAGGACAAGACAGGAAGGAAGACAAACTCAGCAAGCACTCAGCCTGCAGCAGAAACACCAGGAGATGCCAGAGAGGAGACTGAAGGCAGACCTACAGCCAAGCTTCAGCATGCATCATCACATCACACGTAATTCACTCAAGGGGAGGCTGAACTGGAAATCCTGCCCTCTCCTCCTCCTCTCCTAAGTTGCATTCTTGCATCACATTGTGTGGCACCCAGCAAAATGCAGTAGCCCAATGAGTAATATTCTTTCGTTTGTCTTTTTTTTCTCTTCAGCATTACTTTTCAACTGGCAAACTGGTCACCAGACTCTGCATTGCGTCTGCATCTGCAACACGCAGTCTGGTGATCGGTTTGCCAATCCTGCTAAAAAAAAAAAATTCTCCTCAATGTAGAAGGAACATGAAAGCACTTAGTGGACACCATGAAAGATGCCAAGAGGTACAGCTAGTTAGTATGCTACATTTCATTAGCATTTTCTTGTTTAGGTCACCACTGCATCATTCTGTTATTAAATCAGTCTGTTGGGGCTTGTTTTATAGTGGTTGCCATGGTTATCATGGTATTATCATTGTTGGAAGTTATCTAAATAATCAGAAAATTAAGGTCTAAAACTGTACAGTCTTTAAAAATCTGTCCTTACGTTCCTTTATCCAAGCTGGCTTGTAACTATGTAGTAGTTTAGCTGTCATACACAGAGTTTATTTGTAAGGAACGAAAAAGAGCTGAAAGTATGGCTTCTAACTCTTGTGTTTTATTTTTCACTGCTCAAACACAGACATGCATGAGTTCATATTAAGAATTTTGGATTGAGTTGTCTAAAAGGCAATTTCCTGTACTAGGCAACACTGCAACAGAATTTCTTAAAGGAATTAAAAATATTGTTCACACTTCAGAGGGAACAATTCTACTAAACTGAATTGTCAACATATGCTGCAAATGTATTTTCATAAACAATACAAAATTGAAGAGCCTCATTTTTAGACATTTTTAATCACCAGGAAAACATGCATTCTGCAAAATACACATTCTGGGCCTTTTTGAAATCAGTGCGATTCTGTCAGTGGCTTTACTAGTGTTTACAGTTGCTAGAGTCTTCCTATTCGTGATTAAAGTCAGACAGCAAATAAGTCTAGAAGATTCTCATAATAATGAAAGCTTAGATATTTTATTCACTAAAAATAATTTAATTGCTGTTATAAGTCACTTTCACATTTAACTTAGTTGTAATTTTTCCTACACTCAGGCAGACTCAAAATCTTTTGAAGATTCTAAAGAGAAGACTGAGAAGAAATCTGTATACCCCACAAAATGTATAAGAGACTTTAGAAAAGCAGGCCATGCTCAGCATGCATACTTTTGGATCTCTTCCACAGTGACAATGTATTTTAGATACTGTACAATAAATTATCTACTTTTGCTGAAACAATGCCAATATCTTTTTAAAAGGTGCAATGTAAACACTATTTTTATGAGGCCAGTCCCAAAAGACTGGCCTCCCATACTCACATTTTTATCTGTAGGCTCTTTTAAATTGGTACAGTAGGTCAAAATGTAAGACACAACTACTCAGCTTTTAGATTCTTACTTTTCCATAATAGGCATCAGATGGACTGGTTCAGGAGTCACAGATGACCTCCACAGACATATGTATTACATAATTCTTTATCTTTACCTTATTTCACTCAAAACTTTGAAGCTTTCATAAACTTCAGGAACTTGTCCAGCAAAAATACACTTTATAGCCCGCCAAAAGCAGATCTGAACAGTGCGTCAAAAGTTATTAGCACTGAAAACAAGATGTTCATCATGTCACTTTGGTTTAGCCTGCAGGATATGAAAGAGCCCTTTTCGCTCCTCTGCTGTTACAGACTATTTTTAAAACAACCAGCAGAATGTGTTTGAGAATAAGAATAATGACACCCACTGGATGTTGTTGTCCCACAAACTAATGTAATGCTTACTAATATACAACTCATATCCATCAAACACATTGTAAACATCAATATTTCAATACAGATCACAGCACAATAAGCACTGAAACACACACCAGTACCTTTTTTAAAACAAGTTTCACATCAACTACGAATTATTTATTCCCAATATTTTCACATTTTAATTCACTGTTTCAAATATCTCTTCTCTATTTTCTTTTCTTCTGTGTCCCTTTTATTGTTATTAAAGATATTAAAGATTAATAGCTTTAGTAGATTCCCACCCTTAGTAACTTTTAACCAGAACACAGGTTCACTTCCTAGTTCTATTATCTGTGTTCTCCTTTTGCTTTTCTGTTCTTCCTTCAGGATCTTCAGCTCTGTGTTCTGCACACTGTAGGTTAAACTAGACTTGCAGAAGATTAAGGTTCTTGTTATGAACAGCTATGGATGAAGGAGAGCTATTCAGTATTTGAGAATCAGTCTATGACTCTCTGAGATGTAGCCACACTACCCATCCTCTTTATACAGACTCCCACTCTCCAGCTCTCCTTTTGCTCCTACTGTTCTGCTATTCAGATCTTTTCCTTTTTACTGTCTTTTCTACCAGTTTCCCCACCTATTGATTGCCTTTCCCAGATTCAAGACGGATGAGTACCATCTTAAATCTTCCTCTTTTCCCAGACTCTACGCCGTTATCGTGTGATTAGCATGCAGGTTCTCCCACTGCATTACTGACTCTTCCCTCTGCAATGTGTCTCTCCCTCTCTAACAACAACCTATACATTTTTTTTTCTCCTGGCAATGATTTTGGTAGTCTGCTAGTGTTTGTGGTGCCATCTGGGAAAACATATTCTGATAAACAGGACTAGCATAAGCAGACTGTCTGTATCCACTGAAGTCTTCCTCTGCTGCATGCCAGTAGCTATATATTTCTAATGTTAGAAGAGTTTCTTTACAGAATTCTCTAGCAAATGAACAGACAGTTGCTCTCTAGTCTTCTTTAAATTCCATTCATTGATCTCAGCAGATGAAATCTACTGGGTGAACTTCTTGTGCGCTGAATCCAGCACTCGCATAAGGATGCCAATTAAATGAGGATCCTCCACTGCCATTTTCACATGCACTGTGACAATCTAGTTTTCCAGCAAGTTCATAATCTCAGGCCAGTTTTTTATTATATCCTTTTCAAGAACATAAAACCACCAGGGCACGTAGTTTTAAACACATTTTCATGCAAGTAGGATACTAATTGACACAGACAGATTTTTAAGTAAGTCACAATAGTAGGGACACAACACAACTATGACACTAAAACTCAGTCTTCCTTTTTGCAGCTGGATCACTGTCTAATCCTTCAGAGGCAAGAAGAAAAGCCATCTACATGATTACTTAACCTCAGCAGAAACAGTTATCAGGAGCAAAGCAAATGGACTTAAACATTTTAAAAGACCCAGGCTACAACTTCTAGAAGAACAAATGAGACTTAAAACACCACAAAATATTTGAAACAAAAGTGGTACTTTAGCAGCTAATCATATTTCACCTAGGTCTTAGACAGAAATACTCTGATGAGCAACAGATTTCCATTGAACAGTACTGTTTCGACAGCACTGAGACTTTCTGAGGTAAGACTTTTTTTAAACTATCAAACTAAAAAAACCTCAATTTCCTGCTGTACAAAAACCTCAATTTCCTCCGCAGAAAGTTACATTGAATCACTTTGTTATTGACTGTATTTAGATAAGGCCAAACAGCATAGTAAGAAAATGAAGCCACTGAGCCTCACCAAATATATTTCAACACAGTTGAAACTGGGCATATCAGAATATCGTGCTGGAAAAGAAAAAAAATCTAAGCATCAGGCTTCCCGTTCCAGTTAGATCAAAAGTTCAAAGCCACAAAAGGGGAATACTGTGCAGTGGCCAGTTCCCCCTCTACATTTGTTTGCTAGCTTAGATACACAGTATTTACATACTCTAACCCCTTAGCCCAAAAGCAGTGTTTTTGGTCTATATCACCCATAGTGCTAGCATAAATATAAGTGAAAAAGTCTCTTTGCAGTATTTAAACAAAGCATGAAATGCTTCTGAAACTAAGACAGAAGACTAACTATGAACAAGCCTCAGACATGAGACTTCTCCCTTAGAATGTTAACTTTTTATTTTTCTTGCCTATCCTCAAAGTTTTGAGCCACAGAAGATGCAAACTCCCAGCACGTTGGCATGCCAACACCATGGTGTTTCAGTTCAGAAATTCAAAGTGGAACTAGCAGAAGTTAAAAAACAAATTGGAAATCCAGCTGAAAAGAAGTAAACAGCAATAGACCCTTTCTATAAACAGATATTCAATATTAGCAGTTATTGCGGGGGGGGGGGTATTTTAGTTATGCTATTTCGTAAGAATAGCATCAGAGGAAATTGCTGGATACAAAACAGGCTGTGAGAATGAGAAAAAATGGCTTTCTAAAATTAATTCAACACATTCCTGTTTCCAAGAATACTAAATATAAGACTGAGTACCTAGTCCTCCAGCGTGTGCATCAATGAGAGATGCTGCCACTGCAATCCCTTCGGGGAGACCAAGATCTTTTGCAGCTTCTGGCGTTAGACCTTTTCCGACAGACTCTCCAGGAGACAAGACGTGGTTTCCTGGGCAGACACAAGAAAAACCAAACACCTGTCAATTTACTAAACAGAAAAACAAATGTGTATGTTATTACAAGAACTCCCTTCCTCTCCCTCAAGTTAGCATGGTGTATTTAAAACAAAAAAGTACATCAAAGATCTCTATCTGATTAAGAATTATCTTTCATTATCTGTCTGTATATTAAATACAACTGTACTAGATCAGGCTGTCCGTGTAGCAATGCAGAAGTTCAAAAGTATTCAATGTCCTATCTAGCCACAGAGAGAGATTTCACCACAAGCAATTAAATTCTGCTTGGCACCGTTCCAGGAGATATGAAATACTGATGCACAAGTCCCGAGTTCTTGCGGTAGTGCCTGACTCTGCTGCCTGCAGCCATTCTCATGCATGTGAACAAGGTTCAGCTCCGGTCACGCTCACAACTGGAAACTGCACCTGTTGCACAAGGCAAGGGACATTTTTTTTATTCCATTTCCATCCTCTCCAGCAGTTTCCACTAGGAATAAGGTGGCTATAGTAACAGAAACCCTGGAAAAGAAACTGGCTTAACCAGCAAATTCCTCCTATTGCAGCTGTACTTCCTCACAGACTTAAAAAATATGGTTTTGAGCCTTCACGAGCCTTATGAAGTATGAAGATCATTATGGTCACCCCAAACACAAGCAATGCAACAATGCTTCTCTCTCAGCCTGTCACCAGGGAGCCTGGAGGCAAGTCCCCTCTGCATTAGTCTCTGATACCATAACGCACATTTAGTTTTGTGGAGCAAAAAGAGATTGTTTCAATAATTAAATCATGGTGACAGAGATTGCTCAAAGCTTAGAAGAACAAATCTAGCTTCATTGAAATTTCATAATTTGGGGATGCATGCCCCCCTGACGCCTCCTCCCTGGGTGCTGCGTCTAACCACAGCTGACGCAAGGAGACTGACAGCTCCTGGAACCGCACACACTTCTGTATTTATCTAAAGATTCGGAGGGTGAGAGGCAGTGAAAGGCACAGTGGGAGCTCCAATATACCCCCCTGCCAATACCACAGCTTTAAGTCAGAGACTTTGTGCTCATTTAATGGTGCATATCTGCAGTGTTTACTCAGTTCAACAAATCTTCTGGGCAGAGTTGACAAAACTCCTTTTTAAAATAAAACAAGCCTATTTTCACAGTCAAGTTTATTGAGAACATTACACCTAAAGCATGTTCTGATGTATAAAAAGGAAGTAAAACATCCTCCACAACAGAGATTAATTAAGAAGAATAGCATATCATGAAATATCAGGAATACACTAATGATCATTAGTATAATCTTCTAGAAATCCAGTTGTACTACCTTACTGTTAGATGAAAAGAAGGTTATGATATTAAATTCATGGGTGGAAAGTGGGTCTTCAGTTTTACACACCACTTAGGTCTTTGGCTTTGCTGTAAATTATGTTGGTTCTTCACTTTAAGGAAGGTGCCCACTTCCTGACGGATGCAGCGTGTGGAGCACTCTGTGATCAGACACCATATGACTTCTCTGTGTTCACTTCTGCAAGAGTTTCTATTCTATTGACAGCCACACTGCTGCCTCTGAAATGCCAGGCTGAATCCCATACTGGAAATTTAAAACAAATACGTATGGCTAAAACTTTTGCACTTGACTGAGTTTAATGTGGGGCAGTAACCAAAACTCCCCATTTCCATCACTCCAGTAGCTTATACAGAGGAAGTAATGATATTAAACTATCTCCTCACAGGAAAAAAACTCCTACATTTTATTAATTCTTAGTGTAAAGTCAAAACATTGTGCTAGCTTTTTCAAGAGGCGTATCTTTAGCTATTTTTTCCTGTTGGAGAGCAGGACGTTTCTCTTGAAGAGAACTTTTGTATTACCTTTCTGGTCTTTTAAGTCATCAGAGAATAATACTAGTAAAACAAAGTTGTCTGCTTCTCCTGACATTCAAAGATCCTGCAGGTGGAAGGAAGTTCAAAAGAGTTCATGCAGCTAAAACCACATCTTTTCTTCAGAACCAGCCTCCTGACCTGAAAGCATACAAATATCTTGTATGTACAGCCCACAATGAAACTGATCCGAAAGAAAAACTCTTTCAAGGCTCTCAGTCCCATGGTCGGTTTGTTTATATCAGTCATACTAGTCAAACATTTAGTGTGTAATTATTATGTGGTTAAACTCCATTTTGGAGATCAAGGCTACTATCAGGCAAAATCTTTTCCTACCAGCTTCTCAACTACTGTATTTCTAGTTAATGAGCACTCAGGGAGCAATTTCAGACATAAAGATAATCCTCTCCTATGGCAAAGGCAGAAAATGACCCTATAGATTCTTTGGTACTAGTTATACATGAGAATGATGAGGAACATTGCTATCCCCCATGGGCATAAAGTGTGTGAGAACACACAGGGATGGGTTTGTTGTGATTTGAAGATGCAGCATAAAAATCTTGTATTTAGGAAAAAAAACCCAAAACAGTAGAGTATGCCGCATCTGTTTTAGGGGTCAAGGTAAACAGTTACTCCTTGACTGAAGGCACTTCCTGACAATCACAGAATCACAGAATGGTTTGGGTTGGAAGGGACCTTAAAGACGATCAAGTTCCACCCCCTGCCATGGGCATGGACATCGTCCACTAGCCCAGGTTGCCCAAAGCCTCATCCAGCCTGGCCTTGAACACCTCCAGTCTGGGAAGTGACAGCATTCTGAAGTCACCCATGACAGGATTGCAAAGGGGAGTCTCCCAGGTCACCCAACAGTCAGGGAGAGCAGAAAAGAGGTGCCAACAAGCGAGTACAGTAAGGAGAGGGTACTGACTCTGCCCCTCTGCTTCATCCTCCCAGCTTGAGACATCAATGAAAGCTCTGCCACATCCATATGATACGTTCATGAGGAGCTTTGTAGAACAGAAGAAGCAGGCTCCGCATGGGCACTCCTCCTGTCCTCATGGAAGTCGCCTCCTCACCCACACCAGTGTGAGTAAGTAGGTGTGGAATGGGCAGAGCCTTGACTGAACTACATGGGTAGAGATCTGGAAAGGGAATTGTAATTCTCATGCTTTACTCTTCACTGAAAAACTAGAAAACTCAACTAAGCATCAGTATGCCTAGAATCTGTAGATATAAAGCTATTAAATTATAAAATAAAGAACACAAAAAGCAACCAAAGAGGAGCCACAATTAAAAAAGTAACGGGTTTGAGACAGATTACACTCTGGTACTAGACTGGGAGAGAATGAACAGATTCTTACTTGAAAAACACAGTGGTTTTAGAAGTCAAGGGACAGCTACTATAAAAATAAAGGTGTTCTACAGCTACACACCAGCATTTCAACAGCAGGTGCTGCCCCCCTTAAATCCTACCTGCTAGGGGAAAGGAGCCATCAGGGAGGGAGGCAGGGAAATGAGAGCTGCCGGCATACCGAGGCGGGCAGGGAGAGCATTACAGAAGGCTGCATGAAAGAGGCAGTGAAAGGACTGAGTCTTCTCAAGGCTCCTGCCAAAGTAAATATATCGAGTCTTTTGTTTACAGTAGTCTCCTGTGCAAGTCATTTACCTTTGCTAAAATGACTTCCAAAATTAGACCTAACCAAACAAACCCATAATGGCTGAAGCTGGAGAACTTTCTGTTTCACATTCATACAGCTGTTTCACTAATGCAATGCCTTAATCCACAACCTTTTCGTTTGCTACGAGACAGACTATTTCTAGCTATTTTTTCCCCTATAAAGTAGCTAGTTTACAAAAGGAAAAAGCTGTCTGAATCTCTTCCTCCTCTTTTATCCTTCTTCGAAGACTAATGTTAGAATTTGCTATGATCCGGTTTTATTTAAAGAATTTATGTGGTACCAACGACCCTCTACCTTTTTAGGCGGTTACCACAGCAACCAGCTATTTACCAGACGCAACACACAAGGCAGACAATACATCTTCAGTCAACTTTAGTAATCAAAATTCACTGTACTGCCTTACTAATATTTAACAGAAGTAGGTACTTTGGGATGCAGACCGCAGCAGGGGGCCCAGCTGACTCAGCTATGATATACTCACTGCGAACAGCTTTTCATCTATCATGCAGAACGTGGTTGCATTTCATATGCACTTCTATTTGTCTGTATTAAGAGCATAAAAATACAAAAGAGAATCAAAAGGAGATGTCTCTTTTCTTTACTAACTTGACACAAGCAAACTTGGAATTTGGATGTATCAATCCCTTGGTGAAATCCCAACAACCTCAGAAAAAAAATCCCAACCAAAGGGCACATCCTGTCTCCACTGTGTAGCCTCCCCCAAACTGGACAATCTAAATGCTTTTTCATTTAAAAGACAATAGACAAAACAGATATCCTGTTAAGTAAGCGATATATAACATGCATTGAAGAAGTCATATAAGCAAAATGGTGCTAAACAAGCATCAAAGGAAACGGGACCGTCCATCCAAATGGATCTCACAATAAGCAATGTAAGGGATTTCCCACCTTTTGTTCACTACAAAGCTTGTAGACAATCTCCAATTTCTGTGTTTTATAATAATCCTCACAATGCCAGAATTCTGGGATATGCAAGGAATCTGGATAAATAACATTATAACTCTTTCTGATACATCATCCCAACTATCTCACATACAACACATTACCAGCTAGCCCTCTTAATTACACTAAGTACTCACATTTAACGGAGGTACGTATGGCTGAGTGTTCTACAATTTTTAACTCAGCTGATTAGCAGAAATAGCACTAAGATCAGAAAGAAGCAGAATAATGATGTGGACTATAAAATCATAATATTAATTTTTTCTTAGGACTGAATGCATGATGGTTACAGGGTGTTAGAAACAGTCAGGTTTGGGGCTTTTTTAACCTGGAAATACCCTCCATAAAATTTCCTGGTTGGCAGTTAAAAACTTCTGAATTTTCATTCAGGAAAACCAAAACAAATTGTGATATTACAGGCAAGCTTATTTAAAAGTGAAAAAAAAAAAAACAGTTGGTTAAACAAAATCACTTTGGCTT